AGAAGGGGAATGAATAAAAGGAAGTCTGTACTAAAGATATCTCAGTAGCACGCTAAAAAGAAAAAACATTATTAGCATAAAAATTGATCACAAGTAGAAAAGGGCTTCTAAAGTTCTTAAAAATAGTTAATTAAACAAAGATCACAAACTTGTTGCCCACGGATTGCACTCTGTGAGCAGATGTGTTTTGTCTGCCAGCCCTGTATTTGAGAAAATTTGAATTGGTTGCCAGCATTTAGTCAGGAGATTTCACATAACAATATTATTTATATTGAAAGACCTAAAGTCTGGCAACAGTTTGGCGCCAACTTGCTTCACTGCAACATTTGGGTAGCAGTCCTCCACCCTACCTATACACTGAAGATTACACAGGAAGGTTTGGGGGGGGGGGGGGGGGACAGCACCTGAGGTTGAAGCTCCTGTCATTCTGAGTAGAACCCAGGTACCTGTCTATTTAAACGTGTCTCTGAGCATTCTAACAAGGATCCAGAGTTGAGATTCATAAGCCTACAGTTTTACATTTGGCATACACTCTTCAGTTAATCAGAGCAGCCAAATACACCACATTTTTCTTCCAGTCAGCCCATCCTCAATGGTACTGGGAGTTGCAAACCCATTTAATATCCCCCATTTAATCTTATTTAAACCACAGAGCTAAACAAAATACTGCCTAGGAAAGAGGGTCCAGTTCAGCAATATGAAATTTATTAGCTATAAACACTCTAAACCAACTTTACTCAAAGTGTGGTCCACAGAATATCTGCACACAAATCCTTGCTAAAACACAGATTTGCAAATCATGTTCCAGTCATACACATCAAAATCTCTAAGGATAAGCTCCTTAAACACAGTATACAATGAAAACCAGTGTCAGTTTCTAAGGGGATATTCAGGACTCTCTTCTCTACCTCTGACAACCATTCACCCACCACCTGACCATGAAGAACACTAACATGTGTTGGACCACACTACTGTTTCATAGGACAAATCAGTGAGGTTTAAGTCTCTTACATTTTCTCTCTTCCATCCACATGTAGCTTACTCTCTTTGGATCAATTCTCCCTTAGAATTGCTCTTTCATCATGCTCTTAGCCTCTCTATTGTCCACAATAGACATAGTAAAACACACTTGGTACCTTCATGTCTAGGAACATATAGACTTCTTGCTTCCCAAATAGGGAACAGAGGGAAGGAAGCATAATTAAAACACTAAAGATGCCTTTTTTTTCAGCTCCAGAAGAATCATTGCAGCTCATCTTTAGTGCCCATATATTGCTCTCAGGGACTGAAACAATATTTTTCAAGTACGACCCATAAATTATCTATATCCATATTACCAAGCAACTGGATAAACCTGCCTGCTGTATCCTGAGTCTCACCCAAAAAAAGCTTGTTGAATGAATAAGAGTCTTTTTCAAGAGGAACTCTAAGAAACTGTATTCTTAACAAGCTCCCCAGGTAGTTTTTATGCATGAAAAGTTTGAGAACCAGTAAGCTATAGGTATAACAAAAAGAATACCCCCCTCTAGAGCTCCTTCAGGAAATTCACAAGGGCATAGAGAAGCCACTGGCTAATGCTTCTGGTGTTCACAGCTGTCTCTACTCCCATAGTAGCACTTAAGCAATTCAGTACAGCTCCATGTAAAACAACCACATATTCTTTTTTAGTGTAACTCAAATTAACCAAAAAGAAGAAAAACAAGTGAGAAATACTTAAATCCCACTGTACACTAGCAGCGTTTAATCCTATAAAAATACAGATTAGCTTCAAGTCCAGAAAGCTTACAATTATTTGTCATACTACTTCTATTTTAAATTAATCCTACAGGATACCCAGCAAATACCTCTCAATGGAGTTCCAAGACTCTCCTATCCCTTTTATGCTTTCATACACAGCCTTTCCAAGGCTGCATGATATTGCTAACCAACATGTGGCAAAGAAGGCTCTAAAACAGTATGACAATTTTATGCTTGACTCAGGTAATCATAGCCCTCTTGAGGGGAATCTGCTCTTCAGGCTCACCTCTCCACTATTTCTGCCATCCACAATCCCCCCTGGAGGAACTGACAGCTCTTACACACTCGATTACACTCTACTGATTTATAGTGCCAAACAGCCATTCACATAAGGGCTCTCCATAAACATTACCGGATTATGCCAACTCAGGTGATTGATTCTGGACCTCTTAATGTGCCACCTTTCTCAAGAGAAACCTTATGTATCCAATTCTTTTCAGCTCCTCGGATAAGGCACACTATCACACCTCACACCTACTGCCTTTTCAAAACAAGACTGAAGTTAGGAGGCAATGAACTATAAAAAGGAAAACAGGTGAAAGCATTAGCAATGACTGAGGACAAAGAATATGAAAATTAAAGTAAACCTAATTCTTCTGCATGATCAAATACCTTCCTCTTATCATCACTGAAGCTACTGTTTCTTAAACTTTAGGGTGCCTGTGAATTATCTCAAAAATTATTCTAAAATGCACGCTCTCATTCAGACAGTCTGAGATGCAGTTCATGATGCTGCCTTCCTAACAAGCTCCCAAACACTGGTGACATAGTTGTTCTACCACTCAAGGTGGTGGTTGCAACAGTATCAGCTTCAGCGTCACCTTGCAGCTTGTTAGGGCTCTTAAGCCCACCCCAGGCCCAAGAAGAGCAAATCTGCAGTTCAGTAAGACCAGTTCAGTTGATGAGTTCACACATTAGACAGCAGCTACCATGATCTTGTATTGGTTGTGAATCAAATTCACCTGGGACCTTTAAAAAATACCAGACCTCACAGCAAAGATTCTGATTCAATTGGTCTGGGATATTTAATTGTTCCCATGTTTGTTTGTTTCTAAGCATACCCGGGTGGTTCTAATAAGCAGCTAGTGTTGAGACCCAATGATTAAAAATACCCCACTGGGTAGGAGGAAATATAGAGTGACTGTTAATGGGTGAGGAATTTCTTTAGGGAATAATGAAAATGTTCTAAGATTGATTATGGTGATGGTTGCATAACTCTGTAAATGTACCAAAAACCATTAAATTGTACACTTTAACTGAATCAATCATACAGTATGTGAATTATATCTCAATAAAACTATTACATAAAAATTAAATTAAAATTTCAATAGCTTCCTATTTAAAAATAAAAAATAGCCTCCTTTGAACAATAATATGGAATTTGTTTCTATCCTGGAACCTGGCCCAAGAGTTTGAACTTCTTTTAAAAAGGGGGGAAAAAGTATTAGGAGCTGCTCATCTACTATGCAGGTTCAATTTTGGCCAAAGCAATAGATGAAGAAGAAATCTGAAATTAAAACCTTGAATCTCAAAGAATACCAAAGCATTAAAAAGAAAAACATACTTAACAATTTGGAACACTTTGCACATCCCAAGTTCCCATATTATTTTCAAATAAATAATTCTCTTTCTGCTTACCCTATTTAAAAGTAAAGCAGTGGGTGCAATCTATTACATTCTTCAAGGAAAACAATTTCCTAGGGCTAGCACTATGGTACAGTAAGTTAAGCTGCCAACTGCAACACCAACATCCCATACAACCTGATGGTTCAAGTCTCTGCTGTTTGGCTTCTGATCCAGTGCCTTGTTAATGTACCTGAGAAAGAAGCAAAAGGTGGCCCACAGGCTTGGGCCCATGCCACCCATATAGACCCGGATGTTTTTCCTGCTCCTGACTTCAGTCTGGCCCAACCCTAGCAACTGTAGCCATTTGAGGAGTCAACCAACAGATGGAATATCTCTCTCCCTCTTTCTCTCTCTTTCTCTCTTTCTCATTCCGTAACTCAAACAAATAAATGTAAAAAACTTTCGTGTGTTTGAAGATATTTGCAAAGCATGCTAAAATATATAAAATGTAAATCTGACCTTGTTTAAAAATGCACTTTAAATAAATCTAAAAATATATACATAGCCCAAGAAACTCTCAATAATGTATTAAAGAAAATAAGAGATCATAAATAGCACTAAAATTAAAGATCATGGTACTATATGAGATACTATTAACATTATCAAAAGGAAAGCACTACAAATATAGATAGTAGGTACCACTCTGTATTTTGGATGCTCACAGCTTCCCACAGGTGTAGAGTAAAATGGCTGAAACTACAGGTGTCATAGGCTCAAATCACTGATGGATCACAAGCAACATGAATTATTCTCTCTATTGGATCATAACAGCTCATGTAAGCCACCCCCCATGAAATAATGCCCTGTTTTGGATCCCATGGTCTCATTCTTTCAAAGCAGATACATCACCTAACAGAGTTTCTAGAACAAAATAAACTGGTTGCCTGCATCTTCCAGGTCTTCTGCTAAACTAAGGACTTTCCTCTCTTAAGAAATGACTCCCTGGACCTTTAAGACAATGAGTAAGCATATTTTCACAAGGGAGTATGATGCCTTCCCTTGTCCATCACTCCACCATAAAACCCAAAGTATTTTACAATTATTTCTGCTATGTGTGTTTTTTCTAAATAATTCTACCTTATTACATTCTACAGGTGACAAAGAAAAGGCAAATCAACACTCCTAACAAGTCAGTATGGGTAGTAATGCTTGCAAAGTGCCCTATTATTTTTTTATAGAAAGGAAGTTAACCTCCAAAATAAGTACATTTGCTCAATGGACTCTACAATTTCCATAGTACTGGACTATAGGTACATATTCTAGAGAAAAAAGAAAGACTTAGACTTTGCATAACAAATTTCAATTCCAAAGAAGCCATCCTAAAACCCAACTGACAATATTTAGCATGTTGTTAACTTTATCTCATTCCTCTGAGTTTTTAAAACACTAAATTCCTTTTGGAGTGAACTTGCCACTAAGAGAAAGTGGGTCAGGGGTCAGTCAGACTAAAGATTCCCAATCATGATATACATATCCTCCTGAATTTAATAACAAATTCTTAATAGATCATCATGTCTCAGCTCATAACTTAGTTATCCATCCATTCTTTCCTTAGAAAGATACAAAAAAAGGCTTACCTAATAGTATAGACACCCTGAATATTCTTCTCACCACCTTCTCCTTCCTTAACAGCTTGCATTTGTAATAATTTCATAATAGCTTTTATCAAGCCATGTGTATTCCTATAAAAAAATACAACACGTTAAATGTTAGACATGAAGTGAAAAATCCTTTTGTTAAAAAAATATATTTATGTACTTATTTGAAAGTCAGCTTTACACAGAGGAGAGGCAGAGAGAGAGACATAGAGGTCTTCCATCCAATGGTTCACTCCCCAGATGGCCACAATGTCTGGAGCTGTGCCGATCCGACGCCAGGAGCCAGGAGCTTCTTCCTGGTCTCCCATGTGGATGCAGGGGCCCAAAGACTTGGGCCATCTTCTACTGCTTTCCCAGGCCATAGCAGAGAGCTGGACAGGAAGTGGAGCAGCCGGGTCTCGAATCAGCACCCATATGGGATGCCGGCACTTCAGGCCAGGGCATTAACCCACTGCGCCATAGCACCGGCCCCATGAAGTGAAAATTCTAACCAGGTGCTTAATGCTACTGCTGTTAAGTAACTGAACATTTGCCAACCACATTGAACAGTAGCCACCCAAAGGCACTCGGTTCATTCCACAGCACATATCCAACACATAAAAAGGAGGAGAAATGGAGCTGAAGAATCAAACCTCCAACCCATCAATCATCTCCCTACATCCTATTGGGGGAAAATCACCCAGAAAAAAAACACAAACATTAGCCCACATAATTTCAGGCAGTGACCACATCAGTTAATCCTACTGAATGATCAAGTCTTTCATTTATAAATATTAGCAGACCATGAAAAATAACCAGACATATGAAATAGATCAGTGATACAAAAAAAATGAGCCAGGGGACCAGTCAGAGTAAATTATCTCCATGAAAACAGAATTAATGGAAGAGGAAACAGCACTTTAAATTTTTCTCTTATTTTCTGTAAGTGGTAGGAGGATAATATATCAAAAAGAAAACCAGCCTACATTTTTTAAACAAGAATCTCCCTAGGAGCTGGAAAGAAATACTAGAAATAAAACAAAAAAAAATTTGTTCAACAAAAAAGTAATTATTTTTGAATTATGGTTGTGAATATTTATTGAGCATCTTCTGTGAACTAAGCAATCTCCTAAATGCTTAATACATATTGTCATTTATCATTCAAAACATACTTGATTATAAATAAATGTTAACTTTTAGTTAGGACAAGACATGAGTTTAGAATCATTTCCGGTATTTAGGTGAAATGTTACTGAGTGTATTTTTCTAATAGCATTTCAAGTTTTCCAGCTGACAACCAGCAGGTATATCTGCACTATCCAACACAATAGCCAATATCCACACATGGCTACTGAGCATCAGTAATAGGGCCAGTCCAAATAGAGAGGTGCTATAAGCATAAAACACATGCTGGTTTTAAAAGACTTGAGACATAAGAAAGAATGTAAAATATCACATGTAATTTTGTGTATTGGTTATATGTTAAAATAATATTTTTTGATATATTGGGCTACATAAACACATAATTAAAATTAGCACCATCTGCTTCTTTTTACTCTTTTAATGTGGCTACTAGAAAATTCTGGTTAACATATGTGGCTTGCATTGGGGTTCATGTTGTACTTCCATTTCATTGCACTGCTGCAGACACTCATATGGTTTAGTTCCTAAGAAGATTCCCTAGGAAATATGGAGGTTTTTCTTGCAGTCTAAACATTTTCCAGTTTTATGTTTTCTCTTTCATATGGATGTTCTTATGACCATGTAGTATAGATTCACAGATGAGTCTTCTGTGACAGATTTCACACATGTATGGTTTCACCTCTCACGTTGTTTTGAAGGATAAATTAAAATATACGTGAAGTATCAATTGTTTTTTCAATATTTATACATACAATTGTACAATAAAGATTATAACTTTCTTCCCACATTACAAATAGGTTTTGTGAGTACTTTGTTAGTTAATGAATATGAAGCCTACAGTCTGACTAAAACTCACCTCAAATACACCCAAAAAAAAAAAAAACAGTATTTTCCATCTCTGCTTATAAAACCCTCTTTTCTTGTTTTCAAGCCTTTATCAGTCTACCTGAAATCTATTCTTGAAAAACTAAAAGGTGGTTATCAAATTCTGTGTGATTGCAGAGAGATGATAGCAGTTTGAATAATGCCAAAAATAAAAGTCTTGAATTATAAGAATACATAATCATTGGAGAAACAAGTATAAGACAGGATAGCAGAAAATTAAACTGCACTAAAATCTTCAAACTTAAAAAGCTACCAAGATCTAGGCAACATTTCTGAAGAAAATAATTTCTGACACCTCAAATCCAAAAATAAGTGGCAAATTCTATGAACCCTTAGATTTTATAAACACAAAATCTGTAAAATAAAGAACATTAGACTGACATCAATTCTAATTTGGTGCCAGAATTCTCACCTGAAAAACTGAAAAAAGAATGTATATGGACTGACCGGCACTGTGCACAGTAGGTTAAGCCTCTGCCTGCAGGGCTGGCATCCCATAAGGCAGAGTTACAGACAGGGAAAGAGAGAAAAAACAGAGCCCTTCCATCTGCCAACTTACTCCCCAAATGGATGCAACAGCTGAGCAGGGCTGATCCAAAGCCAGGAAACAAGAGCTTCTTCTGAGTCTCCCACATGGGTTCAGAGGCCCAAGCACTTGGCCCATCTTCCACTGCTTTCCCAAGCCATTAGCAGGGAGCTGAATCAGAAGTGGAATAGCCAGGTACTCAAACTACATCCATATGGGATTCCAGCACCGCAGGCTGAGGCTTAACCTACTACTCTAGAGTGCCAACCCTAAGAAATATTTTCATATATAATAGTTTAAAATTTTTTTTGTGAAGTTCTCCAGTTAAAAGATATTGTATGGGCTGGCGCCATGGCTCAATAGGCTAATCCTCCACCTTGCGGCACCGGCACAAAGGGGTTCTAGTCCCAGTCGGGGCAACGGATTCTGTCCCAGTTGCCCCTCTTCCAGGCCAGCTCTCTGCTGTGGCCCGGGAGTGCAGTGGAGGATGGCCCAAGTCCTTGGGCCCTGCACCCCATGGGAGACCAGGAGAAGCACCTGGCTCCTGGCTTCGGATCAGCGCGGTGCACCAGCCACAGTGCGCCAGCTGCAGCGGCCATTGAGGGGTGAACCAACGGAAAATGGAAGACCTTTCTCTCTGTCTCTCTCATTGTCCACTCTGCCTGTCAAAAAAAAAAAAAAAAAAAAAAAAAAAAAAATATATATATATATATATATATATATATATATATATAATGTATGAAAAATCTGAGGGGCCGGTGCTGTGGTGCAGCAGGTTAAAACCTGGCCTGAAGTGCCAGCATCCCATATGGGCGCTGATTCTAGTCCCAGCTACTCTTCATTTTTTTTTTTTTTTTTTTTGACAGGCAGAGTGGACAGTGAGAGAGAGACAGAGAGAAAGGTCTTCCTTTGCTGTTGGTTCACCCTCCAATGGCCACCACGGCCAGCGCACTGTGGCCGGCACACTGCGCCAATCTGAAGCCAGGAGCCAGGTGCTTCTCCTGGTCTCCCATGGGGTGCAGGGCCCAAGCACTTGGGCCATCCTCCACTGTACTCCCTGGGCCACAGCAGAGAGCTGGCCTGGAAGGGGGGCAACCGGGACAGAATCCGGCGCCCTGACTGGGACTAGAACCTGGTGTGCCGGTGCCACAGGCGGAGGATTAGCCTAGTGAGCCGCGGCGCCGGCCCCAGCTACTCTTCTTCCAATCCAGTCAGTAAATAAAAGAGCTAGGCTGAAGCCAGGAGCCAGAAAATTCATCCAGGTCTCCCACTTGGGTGGCAGGGGGCCCAAGTACTTGGGTCATATTGTGCTTTCTTCTCAGGGGCATAAGCAGGGAGTTTGATTAGAAGTGGGGTAACCAGGACTTGAACTGGCACTCTGATATGGGATGCTGGCACCACAAGTGGCAGCACAGCCTGCTGTGCTACAATGCTGGTCACTCATCCTTTCTTGAAATGAATTATCTACTTGTAAAATGATTATTTCCATGGGGCATCTCTCCATAAACTTAAATAAAATTAAATATCAATGATTTCGCAGGCGCTGCAGCTCACTAGGCTAATCCTCCACCTTAACGGCACCGGCACACCGGGTTCTAGTCCCGGTCGGGGCGCCGGATTCTGTCCCGGTTGCCCCCCTTCCAGGCCAGCTCTCTGCTATGGCCCGGGAATGCAGTGGAGGGAATGCACCCGCATGGGAGACCAGGATAAGTACCTGGCTCCTGCCATCGGATCAGTGCGCTGCTCAGGCCACAGAGCGCCAGCCGCGGCGGCCATTGGAGTGTGAACCAACGGCAAAGGAAGGCCTTTCTCTCTGTCTCTCTCACTGTCCACTCTGCCTGTCAAAAAAAAAAAAAAAAAATCAATGATTTCACCATTCTTCCACCCAGATTTCACCACAAGTTGAAGTTTTTTTTGCTTCCATATTAGCACAATTCATGTTGCCATGAAAGGACATCTTCTCAAACTGATGTCCTATCCTTCTTAGTGCCTCAAACCAGATCCTGTTTAGACATACTCTAAGTTAGTATGAGTTTATTTTGGTGACCAAAAAAAAAAAAAAAAAATGAAATCCATGCATTTTTTTCAAAAAACACATTTCCATGAACTTTTTGAAGACCCTTCAAGCATGATAAATGAAGGGTTAATATCCATGAAACAAGAAAACAACAAAATAAAAATAATCTCAGGAGAGAAAAATGAGAGAATATAGATATGCAAATCACAGAAGAATAAAAATTCACAATATCCAGATTTGATGAGAATGGGGAAATTAAGCACTTCCATGTTGACAATACATTGGTTCAGCCTTGATGAAGAACAATTTAGCAGTATCTATGAAAATTTTAAGTGAACATACACTTTTTTCTATAAATTCCACTTCTAGGAATGCATCCTATACAATTATGCTTACATATACTGCAGATGCTATTACACCACATTTTGCTATCTTAAAAAAAATGGAAAAGAGAAAATACATGTTTGCCAATAAGAAAATGATTAAAATATAACACAATTGTATTACAGAACACTCTGCAGTTGTTAACAAGGA